TATACATATATATATGTATGGATAACAATTTCATATTTAATCAAAGGCTCCAGTCATTATGGTATTTATAACAAAATATATTAATTATCGTAAAGGTAAAATAATATATAAAGCTAAAATAATTTGAAAAAAAAGAACACTAGTTTTAAAACACAATTAAAGGCATACAAGGTTGATAATAGTTTACTAACCTACAGCCAGCAACTGCATCACCGTTTGGTAGGATAGATAAGCACCAGACAGATTGACAGGGGAGAGCAATCGTCTGTGAACATTCAATCAACAACCCTGTTCTCCATTCCTGAGGAAGGGGCCAGACACGAACACTCCTATCTTCCCCAGAGGAAAGAATTATCCCATGCTCCGGCCGACAAGCAACGTCATAGACAAAATTTGAATGACCATAAAATTCGCCAACACAATCTCCAGCAATGATATCCCAACAACGAACACCACCATCATTACTTGCTGATAATAAATGATTATCATCCACCTTGGCTAAAGACCGGACGCAATCTGAGTGTCCTGTTAAAACCATATCGGCGGAGGAAACATTAAGGGGTTCGTTCAAAAAAGTAGCCAAGTCAATGGTCCATATCCGAATGGATCGGTCGGCGGAAGCAGTTGCGATTTTGAGCTTATTAGAAGAATTAGAGAGTAGCAAAACGGACCACACAGCATCAGTATGACCTATCAAACAAGATATAAATTTACACAATTTTAGAAAGAAATTTCGTTTAAAAGTTCAAATAAAAAAGTAGGCACACCCTTAAGTACAGCAACACAATTCCTATTCTTCCAAATCCGTGCCGTTTTATCCCAAGATCCACTGATAAAAAATCCATCAGAAGAGCCGTCCAAAGAGCAGACTAATGAAGCTAGATATACGAGAGGTAGCTACCTGTATCTGTGTGGCCGGTAAGTATGTATGATTCGGTTTGTGAGTCGGGAGTATAGACACGGATGCATTTATCGTTAGATCCACTTATAACAATTCCTTGGGGAAATATTTCGCAAGGCGGTAAGGAGAAAATGGCAGAGAGATATCCTGTATGCCCCAAATGCACTGTTTTATTGAAATATTCGGACCCTTCCCTATTATGTTATTATATCGTTTAAATAGGAAGCAAACCGAGAAAGGTTCCAGGACCTAGCAGTAAGGTCTCTTGATGCTGATACAAAAAATTCGTTTGAGTGTGAAAACACACTTCGCACATCACTTTTATGGCCTATAACACAACAGCGCAACTTAAACATGCTGATAGAAAGGTTGGAGAGGTCCTAATAGCCGGGGTTTCCAATGAAGTTTATAAACGTAAAAACATCGATATAATAATTAAATATAATTAAAAGGTTAATTATTTTGGCTAGTTTACTTGACATTAAATAATGGGTGATCTTACAATGTTATATTACTTTTAACACTGAGCATAATTTCATTAAGAATGATGGAAAATTTTAATGGTCTGTCACTAAAAATTTGAAACTAATTTTATTTTTTTGTTCGATTATCTGAGGATATGCATATCTGCAT